TTTTTTTTTTTTCCCTTGGTTTTTTGAGACAGGGTCTCACTATGTAGTTGAGACTGACCTGGAAATCACTATGTAGTCCAGGCTGGTCTTGAACTCACCTTGATCCTCCTGCCTCAGCCTCCCGAGTGCTGGGATTATAGGTGTGCAACACCACGCCCGGCCTGTTTTAGTTATTTTCTGCTGAGATAACATACCTGACACTGTTACTTGGCTCAATTTGTAGAGGTTTAGTCTATAGTAGGCTGGCTCCATGGCAGGGTGCAGGATGCACTGCAGAGGAGAAACTGTTCATGGCAGGCAGAAGGCAGCAAAGTAACAGTGTCAAAGAAGCAGCAAAGTAGCAAGCGAAAAGCAGTGACACAGCCATCTTTCTGTCCCTTATGGCCTATCCAGGCTCCTGCCCTTAGGGGTAGCGCTCATGCCCAGGGTGGGGCAGCCCTAATACTAGCATGAATCAAGCCCTGCAGCACACCCTCAACCCCAGCATCACACACCACACCGAAAAGCCCCACCTGTGTCTGCATGAGGCTCTGGGCGGATGTCTAGACACAGCCGTAAGAGTGGCCAGGTGTTGTGGCACAAGTGTGTGACTCCAGCACGTGGGAGGCTGAAGCAGGAAGATCATTGTTTGAGGCCAGCCTAGGCTACACAGTGAGACCCTCTCTCAGTAAATCAAAAGCCAGGAGAATGACGCCGTATGTATGTGGGGGTGCTGAGTCCTCTGGTTGCAGCCTGTAAATCTCAGTCACAGCGGGGCACCCTGTGTGCCAGTGACTTGCTGTTAAGGGTGGCCCTGCGCGGGGCAGTGTGGCTGTGCCTCTCACGCCCTCCTCTGAGGCGCTTTCTCTGGGCCTTGGGCTCCTGCCTGCGCCAGGTGAGTGTCCCTGTGCCTTGGCTCCTCACCCACACAGCCAAAGCCCTCCAAGGCTGAGGCATCTTGCCTCATACTTTCTCCACTTGCTGTAGCTCTGCTCATTTCATCTGGTTGGTTTCTGTTTTTGTCTCTCGTACCTGTTTGCAGTCCCTGGTGTTTGCATTCTGTGTGTGGTTGGAGAGCTCATGTGTTCAGTACCATGGTGTCCTGGTGTTTTCCTCCAGTTCTTGGCATAGCTGTGTTTTAATTGAGGTTTCCTTTCCGTAGCGGAGGAGGACGAGGATAAGGAAGATGACTTCCGAGCTCCTCTTTATAAAACTGTGGAGATCAAGGGCATCCAGGTGCGCATGAAGTGGTGCGCCACCTGCCGCTTCTACCGCCCACCGCGGTGTTCACACTGCAGCGTCTGTGACAACTGTGTGGAGGTGAGTGCGGGCCACGTGCGAGGGACGCTGTCCCTGAGGGCACAGGTGTGGAGCCACGGCCTCCGCAGATTGCAGTCCCAGCTCTTCCCAGATACCCTTTTGCGCCCTTGTGTTTTACCCTTATTTTTACCTAGTCGTGAGCAGTTGCCTGCCAGATTCCCCTTCCAAACAAAGCCTGTCTTCCCTTGAATCTCGAATGTTGGCAAAGCCTTTGAGTTTGGTTGCACAGGATGAACTTGAGAACTCGTCTTGGCCTTTGCTTGCCCTCCCCAGGGTCCCCTTAGGCAACAGTGAGAGGAGCTGTTTGCGGGGGCTACATGGCACCCCCGCCCCCAGGCCTGGGGTGCGGCGTCCAGGGCCATCTCTCAGGCTGTCTTTCCACCCTAGGAGTTTGACCACCACTGCCCCTGGGTGAACAACTGCATCGGGCGCCGGAACTACCGGTATTTCTTCCTCTTCCTCCTCTCCCTCACTGCCCACATCATGGGTGTGTTTGGCTTTGGCCTCCTCTATGTCCTCTATCACTTGGAGGAGCTCTCAGGGGTGCGCACGGCCGTCACGTATCCTTCAGGCTGGGGGTGGGCGCTGGAGCGGAGGGAGGAGCGGGTGGAGATGAGGTCGGGATGGTGGCTCCGCAGAGTTGGGCCGCACTGTTCTCCTTGACTGCCGGGCATCAGAATGGCGGTGATGTGTGTGGCGGGCTTGTTCTTCATCCCTGTTGCGGGCCTCACGGGATTTCACGTGGTGCTGGTGGCCAGAGGACGCACGACCAACGAGCAGGTACGGGGCCAGGCTGACCCAGCGGCTTCACAGGAGGCAGGAGCCGCATCGCTCTCAGGTGTGCGCCAGGCTGCCAGCCCATGGTCTGTGCATAGCAGCGGCCGGGCCAAGGGGCCCGCTCTGGTCCGCACAGCCGCCCGGAGAGCCCGGGCATGTGGCTGTTAGGTACCAAGTGATGGCAGATGCTGTCTGTGATGTACACGTCCCACGCTGCTTGATGCGGGGATTTGGACAACTGAATGGTCCCACTTCACCTGAGCGAACTGATGCTTGGGGTCAGGGCCATCCCAGAGGTGGCTGGGATTCGAACTGAGGACCCTGGCCCTGAGTCCCTGCCCACAGCCATCACCCGTGCAAGCTTTCTGATGGTCACTGTGCATTCTGCTCACTTCTGCGTCCCTGGATGGCTGGTGCAGAATAAGGTGCTACTGAGATGCTTTGGCCATGTAGAGTCTGATTGGTTTGTCCTCTCTCCTGTCCAGGTTACGGGTAAATTCCGGGGAGGCGTGAACCCCTTCACCAACGGCTGCTGCAACAACGTCAGCCGTGTGCTCTGCAGCTCTCCGGCACCGAGGTACGCCGGGCCCCCGGGTGTGCTGGCGAGGGTCGGTGTCAGAGCCTGCCAGGGCGGGTGCCATGCTCTGGGACAGGGCATGTGGGCAGTGTGGGTGGCGCCTCACGTGGTGGTGGTTCTTTCCCTGTGGGGCCGAGCCCATGGCTTTGCCTGTCACTGGGCTGCTCTTGGCCAAAAGCAGGGTCTTTTTTCTTTTTTTGGTGGTGGCTATATATTTTTTTCCAAATAATTCTTTTAAAAAATATTTACACAGCTACTTTTAAGTCCATGATTAACACTCTTATTTATGTGGCTTTAAAAGTTATAGCACAAAGGCTGGGGATTTAGCTGAGTGGTGCCACCGCTGCCTGCCTCGCAAATGCAAGGCCTGACTTCAATCCCTGGTACCCAAAAAAAAAAAGGTTACAGCACAAGATGTTTACATTAAAGGATTGGGAAAAAAGATTAAAACAAAGTCTGATATATATGTTTTTGTATTTGCTTTCTTTTAAATACATTAATATTAATTTTTGTTGTTTGTTTATTTTTTGACACAGGGTCTTGCTCTGTAGTTCAGGCTGACTTTGAACTCACTATGTAGCACAGGCAGCCTCAAACTCAAAGCGATCCTCATGCCTCAGCCTCCCAAATGCTGGGATTACAGGCATGCGCCACCACACCCAGCTTAAATACATTACTTTTTTTTATACCAGGGATCAAACTCAGGGCTTTGAGCTTGTGAGCCGGGCCACAGCACCTCTCAGCTAAATCCCTAACCCTAAATAGATTAATTTTAAATGAGCATCTTTTTTTTTTTTTTTTGAGTGGTAAAATACTGTACTAATGCAACTTCTCATCAAAATAAAGTTTACCACAGATGTAAATGCATTTTCCCATTTAAAAATGGTCCTTCAGCTGCCATTAAATGAAAATCCACCTACCTTAGCTGAGAAGGAACCGCGGGGGCCGCGATAAGCAGAGGACGCCTGCTTATCATCACCTGCACTGCTGTTCTGGCTCAGGCAGCAGCCGGCGGCTCTCGGGGGGATGCATGCGTGAGAAGTCTTACTCTTGACACTCAGGTATTTGGGGAGACCAAAGAAAGAGAAGACAATTGTCATCAGACCCCCTTTCCTGCGGCCAGAAGTGTCGGACGGGCAGATAACTGTGAAGATCATGGATAACGGCATCCAGGGCGAGCTGAGGAGGACGAAGGTGAGGCGCAGGGGGCGAAGCAGGCTGACTGGGGCCTCCCCTGTGGCACAGGGACGCAGACTTGACTTTTATTCTTCATCGTTCTGTTTGCTGGCTGGGTACAGAGCCCAGGGCCTCCTCATGTGCTATGCTTCCGAGCTCTGAAACTTGCTGGGGGTCTACAGCTTCCTGTAGACTGTGTGTTTAATTCAGTCCCGTAAGTCAAGTCCAGATCATCTTGTCTTCATCACGCTGTAAGTTCAGACAGTAGAGGTTGTGCCTGTCCGTTTCGATGTTCCCTAAGGAGACAGCAGCTTGCAGGTGATGGGAGCCGATGCCTGCCTGTGGGTGGAAGTGAGGACCACGCACCCAGGCCGCCGGGTGGGAGCTGCCTCGGTCCGACTGCGGCCTGCGCACCTCTTCCCCTCCTGTGGGAGCTGCGGCCCTCACCGCCCCTTCCTTCCTGCAGTCCAAGGGCAGCCTGGAGATCACCGAGAGCCAGTCCGCTGACGCAGAGCCGCCGCCGCCGCCCAAGCCGGACCTGAGCCGCTACACCGGGCTGCGGACACACCTCGGCCTGGCTGCCAATGAGGGTGAGGCTCGCAGGCATGAGGGCCACTGCCTGGTGGCATTGCTTGCGCAGGCGGCTTTGGGGTCTGGAGGAGGACAGGCGAGGGGAAGAGCTGTGTCTGGGCAGACCCGGGCGGTGCCCCCCAGTGTGCCCGACTCCCTCCCACGCGGGAATTCACGGTCCTTCACGTTCCTTTCCTCCTCCCTTTCTCGAGGCCCTGCGAATTGATGCTAGTGCCTTCACACGGGAGCTACACCCCCGTCCTTTTTAAATTGTTATTCTGAGGCTGTCATGAAGGCACCAAGTTTCGGCCCAGCCTCCCAGAGTGCCGGGATTTCGGGTGCGCGCCACCACACCTGGCTCCCAGGCGTCCCTTTTGCGGGGTGAACCCGTTCCCGCTGCCCCTGCCGGTACCTTAGGGCTTGAGCACCGTGTGAAGCCGCGCCGCCCGTCCCCTCTCCCGCAGACGGCAGCCT